GCGCAAGTAACTAGCCTAATGACCACTTACCTTTACTTTGACGACAGCTGGATTGTAAAGAAAAACATTTTAAAATACTCCAAAAACTATTAAATAAGTAGCTTACATGTATGAGTTAAGGAATATTAATGAAAAAAATGTTAAAAGGAGCGTGGTTTCTGTACAATATGAGCAGGTTAATTCTATTAGTAGGCATGAATTGTCCAATTTTTTACAAATACTAAAAATATACAATTTAAAAATGCAGTAGTACAAAAGCTTTAAGCAGGTTTTTTAGAATGAAACCAAGCTGGGGTAGTGTGAACAGCAAGAATAAGGCCCTGTAAAGTAGATAAATTTATCAAAAAAAGAAATAGCATGAGACATAGCGACGTTAAGCACTAGTTAACAAAGCCTACAGGTGCGAGTGACATAGGTATGAGCAGGATTTTGTCTGCGATGCTACCACCGGTTTCATCGAATAGTATTGGTACGATGTTCAATTGAGCTTAGCCAGAAAGGGGATACCCTAGAGATGTATAATTTTACAAGTAGGACTGACATAAATTGGATAACAAAGGATAATTTATTAATAAATGGCATTAAAGAAGTTTGAGCAATATTTATAAGGTTTAAAATCAATTATCAGTAAATGTGATCAATGAATCGATCTCGCGACTGTCAGTCTAAGAAAATTAATTAAAATTGGTTATATGAAGCGCTCGCCAATTGCCAGTCACTATGGACACTCGAAGTCAGAACAGTACTTAACAAAGTCAACCAGCGGATAAATAAAGGCGCAATGAATGTGGATAGAAGCAAAAACCTAAGAAGTGGTATTATCTAATATAAGCGGTTATAAAAACAGTAGAGTATCTGCTAGCAGATGTTTTATGCTAGAATTATAAATACCGCTAGGCCAAGAGCTTTACAGAAAGTTAAAGCAAGTTTAGTGCGACGTCGGAACGTTCTAACAAGAGACGATATAAATCCCACCGGAGTAAATTTTAATAGATGCCCTTTCAGTCTTAGAAGCCTTTTAAAGTTGCCTGTTTATTAATAACACTCTAGTATAGTCTATTAACATTAACCCGTTTGTCCATTGTGCAGAATACGTTTACTACAACCTCCAATTATTTTTATAATTTTAAAGCTACAAGCAACACATTTTAAATTATAGGCCACGATGACATTTATGACCTAATGCATTAAACAACAACAAAACCTAAAATTTATAGGATACAGATTGCAAACATCGCTTGCAAATATTAACTGACTCCTACCCTTTTGTTTTTAATTACAGAAGCCCTCTAAAAGCACATAAGACTACTGTTAGATAATAACTAGAATAGGACAATTATTTGCTACCATCTAACTTTATAGAAATGATTAATCTTGTGTCTTGAATCAGCGCAATAGTAATATATATTCTCAAAAACGTTTAATTTTAAGTTTTGTTGTTTGCTTCTTCTCCCTGCTCGCTTTTTCTTCTTGATGATGGGGCCGTTTAGTTTATTTATTAATTAATTATATAATTTCTACTTAAATTAGCGAATGCATTTATTGTCTAGTGTACAAACAACCTACACAGACATTTTTATTAAAAATTTTTTATAGTATATAGGACTGACCCAAACCAGGAAAAAAAGCGGTTTTTACGCTTTTCCTTTTACCTTCCTCAGTACTTTTCTTCTAAACTTTTTTTAAGAGCCCTAGGAAAAACTACATATTGAACAAAATTTTAAAATGGAAGTTTTTTCTTAAATTTCTTTTAAATACACTATGAGCATTTTTGATGCACAATCTTTTTATGACCTGCAATAGTTAATCAATTTGCTCAATATCAGTAGTAGCTTACTCAACTGATCTGCCCTTATTTCATTTTCTATTTATACGTAAACATTTCTTTTTACGCCGAAGACCGTATTCCTTATCCAACTTGAAAAATAATTACAGTCAAGGATTGAGGACAAGCGCTATAAGTTGATTGCTTTATAAAGCCAATCTTATGAAGATGTCAAGGAATTATAGAGTTGTGGAGGTAATTTTTGTAAAAGATTTAAATTTCAGTGTAACCCCCGAAAAATTTTCTCAACTTTTTGATAAACATAGCTTTCTACTTTTACAATAAATTATTATTAAAATAATGCTAAAGTGTGTGGGTTTTAATTAACTCTTAAGATAAAAATGCAAGGTGATATATATATATGTCTTTTTAAGTTATAACCAGTGATTTATTACTTGTTTTCATTGCTGTTTTCACAAATAATGTATAGTAGAGGTTTACGAAATATAGTTTTGCAATAGTTTGAAGTGATAATTCTAATACATTACGAGAATTTTATGTTAATTATAAATAAGCAATAACTGTAAATTATAAGATTATATTTTTGTGATAACTAATGTATATATTTGGTATAAATACTAATTTTTTTGTGATTAAGAAAGGGAGTACGGATCTGGACTTGCTATCCTTCTTCGAGCGCCGACGGTGAAGTTCGAGTTTTCTAAAGAAGGAAAGATCCGAAGGCGGTAAAACCCATGAAACTTTGAGTGAGAAGAGAAGTAGATCCCGAAGCTAAGATGCTTATGCTGCGACATGTCCTTGTAATAAATAAACAAGAAGATGGGGGATGCCTAACTGCAGCAATGCGAGGCCAGTGTTTCCTGGAGCCTGCGAGTCTGGTGCCCACCCGCTAGTGGATTGTAGCAGTTTTCCACCGTACTGAGTGAACTGGCGGGGGTACGAGCCCTATATATCCGCTGTTCCTTACTCCTTCGGGACAGTCATATTTTTTTAAGAGAAAAAGATTGATGAGCATTGACCCTCAAACCCCTTTTTAAGGAAAATATAGATAAACAGTTTTAGGTTTTAAATAGACCCGTTCATAATATGCCAGCACTAAAAAAAAATTATTGCATAGAGAAAAGACTTTATCTAGTCAGAAAATAAACTTTTCTGAAAATACATTATAGGTGGAAATTTAATGTTAACAACCTAACGAATTTTTCAATTTATGAAATTCTGCGTATTTTAATATAAAATAGTTGACTTGTGCATTTGATAATTTGCTAAAATTACTCTATTTCTATGGCCAAATTCTTATATTAGACTTCACAGTATATATATTCCTTTTAAATGGTCGTAATGGGTGATTCTCAAGCGAATACTGAAAAAATGGGAACTTACCGCTAACTCCTTGCTTGCATAACTTTGCTTTAAAAGTAAAATAAACAAAAAATTTTCTAAAGAAACCTTAAGAATTTGTGAAAAATCTGTTAGGAGTTAACGTTATTCAGTGGAGTGCGTGTTCTAGCAGTTCTTCTAGACCTGCTCGGGGCATTTAACTTGTAGCCCAAATTCGAGCACACTAGCAAGTGAGCCGAAGACATCGGTCTCCTCATTAGGTTAAGGGCGTATATCCTTCAACGGCACCTGCCCATTGTCTCCGTTTACCTCGTCATACAGTCATAATATACTCCTTTCATTTTTATTGTTTTACCTTTTCCTGTTCCTCAAATGTTCTGTGGTTCAAATTAGCCTTTCTTATAACGTCACCAATCATTATCAAATCCACTACAATTTCGTGTAACCTCTAATATGAAGTAAACAAATCCTACGTGAGCTTGATATATAAAAGAATGGCTGATCACCATAAATTTTGCATTTATTCCTCAAGAAATTCATGATATCTTCCTGCCACATGAAAAAGATGGAGAACCTAAAATTAAGCTAGGTTTTTTTTTATTTCTTCAGCTTGTTTAATAAAACCTTTGTTTTTCTTTCTAATTATCATTTAAAGATATGTATTTAAGTTTTATTAGTAACACTCTTGCTTTACTTTACAACACCTTGCTATATTTATAGAAGTGAAGTTATCTTTTCAATGTATTGCAATGCTTTAAGAGCCTTCAGCGCAATTGTGAGACGTACCAGCCCATTAAGTTAAAACAACTAGCATATTACTATGAACTGCACAGAAAATGTAGTAAGAATTTAAACCCTTTTATATTTTGCACATAATAATAATTAACCCTAACCTAACCCCTGATCTAACCTGTTAAATTTTTTTCTTATTGCTAATGATGGTTCCTGGTGCTCGATCGGGTCGTAAAAGAAAATACCGAATTTACGAGCTCTCAGCAAGGTGATGTTGTACACATTAGCTTTAAGCTTGTGTTAAAGCATCTCATATATATAACTTTATAATAAAGCTCAATATAAATATTTAGAAATATACACTTGTATAACTAACAGCACTAACTGAGGTTAACTTAAAGGATTTTACGTTAGTTGCGATATTCAAAATTGTTTACTCATAAGCTTTACCTTAACGAGACATTCTTGTTAAGCATAACACGTTTAGTTATTGCTATATACTATAATTTATGGTGATAAAGTAAAGTGCCTTAATGTAGCTAGTGAGATAAATTAAAAGGTTTGACAAACAATAGTACAATATATCAGGAATTGAATGGTTGTTAGAGCTAGTTCTCCCTCCCTGATTTACTTCGGAAGCGTGATAAAGCAACTTAATAAACCGATGTCCTAAGATGTATTTTTAACGCCTAATTGTAGGCGCCATAATTTAATCTCGGTTCTACTCTCAGTTGAGCTTAGATTCAACAGAAACAAAAAAATTTTGAAAACGAAAATACAATAGTTGTTAAAAAGCTACGTGATTAGAGTAAATAAAAAAAAAAATTAGTTCGTTAACTTGAACTTAAAGTTATATATGCTTTGACTCTAAAGGGTCTAACCTTCACTTTGGGTATTTTCACTCTTTTTCGTCCAGGTGCATAGCAATTTAGGTTGCCATAACCGTTCCTACTTCCTCTATGATCGAATGAGGCTTAGGGTCCAAACGCTTCGAATGTGCCCATGACATCTCTGCAATCCCTATAATTATTATAGGGTGAATAGTATTGATAATTAAATTTATAAGCTTCATAGGACAAATAAAATTCATTAAATATTGACAAGTTGTTAGCTATTAGATATATTAAATGTTATATTTACTATGTTCCGTACTTTCCCCTCCCTTGAGGAGGTTTGTTCTGCTATAAAATTTTGTGCTTCTACTTTTTCAAAAAAAAGTGCCGAGGAAGTGGTATACATTAATTAACTCTAATTCTTTAGCTCTAGAATTTTTTCATATTATATTTTATATTCAAGATTTCAACTATTACGCAATCAACGAGTTCTCAAGCTTATACGCAGGAGAAGGGCTACCTAATAGAAGTGACAACCTCAAATGTTCGCGGATCTGGCACCTGTGCAAATGTCGCTTTTAAGTTTAAAAATATTCTTTATATACTTAAACTTTCTACACATTTTTACAATTTCTAATTTTTTTTAATAATAGGTTTTCATCACCCTTTTTAATAAAAAAAATGATTCATCAGGCATTTTTAATTTGACTAGAGATGCTTCTGTGGAGAAAAATTCTAAATCATTTTTCCAAAGAGGTTATTAATTTTTTGTTACACTTTATTAACATTAATTAATTTTTTTAAAGGGCAAACTGATGTATTTTTGATTCCAACTTCTCAAAGTGTGGGTGATATAACAAGGATACGGTAATTATTGCATTTTATTATAAAATATGTTTCTAGAATACTCCTCTACTATTTAAAAAATTCGTGAACAGTCTTAGGGGCAACTATTTGTGTTGTTTTGCGTTTAAGTTTGATTTAAAATTTTAATAAGAACAGTTCTGATCTTATGACTTCTGTCATTTTTCTACGAGGAAGACTAGGCCACGATAATACCGGGCAGTTTGCCTCCTGGTTGCCCGAAAAAGTGATTGTTAAAGATATTTTATCAAACAAAGAGTACCAGTTTATAGTTTCTGAATGGCTGTCCACTTCTGGTTTTCCCACATCAACTTTGTACTTCCGCCTTCTCATTTATCTTTTGTTAAGATGGTGGCCAAACTGTCAAGGACATTTATGTAAGCGACTCCTACACAATTGCCTCTAGTAGTTTTTCTGAGGTGTTAAAGGTCTTTTTGGCTTTGTCTTTGAAGGACTTATATATATTTGTGTCAGGAACTCGAGTACAAGGATATAACGGACTTTGCTCCGAGAGCTTTTGAGTCCCTACGCACTTTTTACGGAATTAAACTAGACGACTATGTGGACTCGTGGAACATACAAACTGGAAAAACTTTAAAAAAAGGTTTATCAGGAGCTATTACAATTGTCGTCCTAAAGTTAACGTTTTGCAGGAGCCGGAAGAAGCGGCTCGCAGTTTTTAAAGTCGAAGTGCAAACGCTTCATTCTTAAGACGATTCCTTTTGTGGAGGTATGCTACATATACGCCTTATATGGAGTAAATAAAATCATATAAAAGAAAAATGTGTGCGGAGGGCGGGAGGAAAGTTGTAACCGTTAACTTCGTATTATATTAAACAAAGAATATGTTTTTACTGCCCTTTGCGTGGCGTCATTGGCTGTGTGCTTAGTTTACGGTTTAATTGCGTGGTTATTTTTAATGCTCCCGCACTGAACACTTTCCATTGCAGGTTCAAACCTTACTTAGTGCGCTACAAGATTATTATTATCATCAGCTCTCTAACAAACAGTCGCTTATAATGCGGATAATAGGCCTCCACCGGATCAAAGTAGTTTAAATCTTTCTTCTTTTTTCCTTTTGTGCTCAAGAGTGCTTACGGTTGGCCACTCTATCTCACCATTTATTCCGGGCTAGTCCATTTATGTCATTGTGTTTTGCAACTGCCTATACGCACCATCGTCCGTCAATATGACAATATACGATTTGAAAGGTAGAAAACCAAAACCCGGAAAACAGTTTCAAAGTAAGGGAAGTGGAAAAGGTACACCGCAAGGTTTTACTTTGATTTGTAAATAGGGTAAAACTTTGCGTATTTTTTTATTAGGATATGTTTATAAAGATAAAGACCTCGACAGGAACTTTTTTTTATCGAAAGATATAAAGCTCGACTTTTTTGATACTGTTAAAAAAGATCTGGACTTTTTTATTAGAAATAATCTTATGGATTATAGCTTCCTTATCGGTTCTCTTCTGTGGATGAGCATACCCGGCCAACACTGGTAACTGCTACTGTCTTCTTAGGTGTTTCCAAAAAGAAGGACGGGACCGTGGTCTATCCGCCTTGGGCCCGTACTTTGGAGAGCGAAGAAGGCATTACCGTTTATCCTCCATCTACCCGAGTTTACTGTTAATTCCTGCCACCAGAGTGGGGGGAGCTTTTCCACGTGGGGTTCATCGATTGTCTCACGAGTTATACTCTGAAAAAAAGGGTTGCTCACGGTTTAAAGCGTGTTCTTTGGACGTAAGTTGGAGTTACTGTCGCCTTTTTTGGTTGTAATTTTCTTAAAAAGCACGTGGGAGTTATCCACCATTAATGCCATAGCTTATGCAAGCAGGATGGGCCTTTTCTTAGTCTCCATTTTCGAGGACTCTCCTCTGTCAGTGCCTCCGCTTTTCTTACTTAATACTGTCCTTTTCATGCTCTCTCGTTAGGGAAACTAACAAATATAAGTCCTCCAGTTTAAACCTTTCCTCTCCGAAACTGGTCAAGGATGCTTTATTGCACAAGAGGGTATCTCGGCTCCAATTTTGCTCTTCGAGGAGTTTGTATTGTTTAATGCTTGGCAGATTAAGTTACTGGAGGCGAAAGTAGACCAGCTCAGTAACCAAGTTTTGAGTCTTACTAGGTTTTTAAACACGTTGCAAGATGGGTGTAGAAAAGGGGCAGGTTCTTCTGAGAGCCACTAAGCAAACTCAACATAGCTAACGGAACCTTTTTTTTCGGTCTAATTTATGTTCATCCCCTTATCGGCAAACGTTGTTTATCTTTGAAAACAATATATTCTGTATTTCTTCAAAGGACTTACCACTAGTAAATGCTCTTTTACAAGCTTTTACAGTCTTGGTTAAAATGCCTTTTTTGTAGTAATTACCACGTTTTTCTAGATAGCTAACTTCAATGTCGCTTTTTCCTTTTCTGTCCTTCTTTTTATTTCTTCTAGCTTCGATCGTTAATAAACAAGTGCATCTTAACTTAAACTGTTGTTTAGTGGATGTCATGAACTGAAAGAGACTTTATTACTTCTATCAAGATAATAAAAAAATTATTTGAGCACTAAAACAGATTTAAGGAAACAACTAAAACCTCTTTATTATCAAGAGCATTTTAAGATCCACCCATAACACTCAAATGGTGAAATATGAGAAACACGCTCCTGTCTTGTTATAATTAAAATATCCTAGTATCCAAGGTAGACTCATAACCTTATGCTTTTATTTATAAATTTTTGACCCCAAAATTTATAGTAATTTTAACTCGGTACCTAGCTTATCGAAGACCCAGTAAAAACTCGCCAACATATTAAATATTAAATATCCATATACTTTGTTATCTTTCCCAGAAACCGTAGCCATGGTGTTGTAATAACAACACAATCTTGTAAAAGCTCAAATCTGGTTCCTTTCTTCAGTAGAGGGAACTCAGGCTAAGTAATTGGAATAGCTCGTTAGGTCCCGTTTGTTCTCTCAAGAAACGTTATGTTCTCTTATAAAGTACTTCCAAATTATAAGGTAGTGTATGCGATTCCTACTAATTAGGGAATTTATTATTCGAGTGAAAGGCCTGTTCGTCAATTAAATTGGGAATAATGGCAATAAACCATCATTTGAAAATATGTAAGTTTTTAAATAACTGACGTGAAAATATAGTTTATGAAGCTTTACAGATTTCAGCAATTATATGATCTAATTTTCAATCAGCTACTACATTTAACATTTCAACATTCCATAAGTCGGCAAGTAGTTTATTTATTGATTTATAAACGATAGTTCCTAGTGCTCGATCGAGTTAAGTATAATTTCGAATACTCGAGCTCTCAATCAGGAGAGATCGCAGACATATTTCATAATAGTTTTTAATCGATTTCAGTATTTTTTGACATTAACAAACAAAAACTATAGCTAACGCGCGTCACGTGGGCGGTGATGTCGTGCCCCGTCCCATGGTTCGTAAATAAGTTTACTCATCAGCAGGCAATAAGCGCGCTTGGCTAGCCTGTCGTAAAGCGCGTTGGCTTTACGTTGGAAAACGACGTCTAAAGTGTCCAGCTAAAGGTCCTGGTTAAGAGCTACATTTCGCGCAAACCATGGCGTGTTTGTCATCGCTCGCAGAAATTTGTTTTGTAGTACTTGGAGCGCTCTCATGCGATGGGGACGTAGGTCCAAGCAGCAGACGCGTATGTCATTGTTGGCTGGATGTAAGACATACACAATTACCGTTTGTTTCGCAAAGAAAGCTTGCGCTTCCCGTTAGTAAAGGGTAAAGCGCCGTAGTTGCTGCCTCGACCTTCTCCACTAGATAGTCCACGTGGTGCTGTCAAGAAAGTTTGTTGTTAATGAGGACTCCCTTCATATGTTTCAGGTACCAAAATAAATGCCAACAGTTGAAGACCGTAGTGGGCATTTGGTTAAACTTGGCACCTTGTTACACTATATTTTATACTATCCGTTAACCTTATTAAAACTTGAGAGCTGAGTCTGACATTTCAACCGCGGCCGTCCCTGTTTGTTTCAATACAACTAGTAGCTCTCTCACTTTTGACAATAGATCCTAAAAATTGATTACATATGGTCAACCTAATCGACAAAAGTTAAAACTTAAATAAACACCAAAATAAGTGCGAAATCAAAAGCACTATGCCTTATATAAGGCTTTCGGTAAATATTTAATCTTCTTTCTTTACCATCTTGCGAGCTTCAAAAAGGACTTTTGGTTAAATTAATAGAATTATCCCACCCTTTTAGTAAAAAGGTTCGGGATATGGGGTAATTATATCAGTGATCCTCTTTATAAGCATTTAAACCTTTTTTTGACTTAAAATAAAAAAAGCCTTAAGTCCTTCTACTTGCAAGAGCAATCTTATAAATAAAATAATGTTATTTGTTGAGAAAACGTTAACAAAACTAATGGACCCATAGAACTAATTGAGGAAGGTGAGACATAACTAAAGTTTAAGATAATAAAAATTTTAAAAAGATAACCTAATTTACGACACGATATAACGAAAATATAAATATTAAAATAATGGCTATTAAGCAGTAAAACTTTCAAGAATATTAAGAAAATAAATAATTAATTATTATAATAAAAACCACAAAACTAGGAAATAATATAGGATAAATAAAAATTATTATAAGGGTGCGAACAGAGCACTAGGACGACTGAACCTTTTGAATATATCATTGTCTTGTTTGAGTACCCAAGGCAAAGGCATGCCGGTCCTTAGGATTCTCATGTTTATATTCATAATTCCATAGTATGCAGCGAAACCAAGGCGCAAACATTACAGAGCCACAAGTAATTATTAGATAAGAGGATTTTAACATTAGATTAAATTAAAATAATGAGTATAAGCTTTTAAGAACATCGCGTACCCCGAACGTAAAAAGGTATTATGCAGTTTGTTGCATATTTAAAATTATTGGATACATCTAAAGCCATGCTATATCCTAAAACCTTCGGGTAGAGTATTAAATATAAATGCTAAATCTATTTGAAGTGAAGAACAGAAATCGATTTGAGAGATGGTAGGAAAAGTTTTTTTTTAGAATCAGGAGTATACGTTATGCTAGTTAAAATAGGTGCGTACTTAATTTTACAAACAAACGCAAGTGAAAGAAAACTAAGTAAATCCTGTACAGCATGATAATGAAAAGGTGCAATGTATAAAGTTTGTTAGCTTGTTAGCTCAAATTATAACAAAGCTCGAAGAAGTTATAGTACCAAGTGTTGACTAGTGTTTAGGGTGGACTTGATTAAAAATTAGTGGTAACAGGCTTAATAAAAATATCGGATCATAATAGCCTAACAGGGCTGTTTAGTAACAATATAGAGAGGAAATCTATCGTGGGAGAACTTAAGGTGGATGCAGGCCATAGATTCGTCTACTTGGACGCTCCAATTTTACCAGGAACTGAAAGAGATAGCAGAGCTATTCTTTAGATGGGTGTTGCCAGGAAGTTAAGGCTGCTTGAGGTAGAAGATGTATAGCAGTGACTTTAAATAAAAAAGCTTGTAAAAATTAGTTTATAAAAAAAAAACGCATATTATTTCATACTAGTAGAAAGAAAGTGCATATTTTTAAGGGTGATAAAAGAGGTAGAACCAATGATTATTACAGCATTAGACAGCTGCGAATGTTTTCCAGGAGTTTAGAAACAAATCACGTCTCGAACATGAACGTATATAAACCATGTCCGAAAGTACCTTTTCATGACTTATTAATGAATATTACGAAGTTACCTAAAACTAAAGCAGGTTACATCAAAAAAGACGAAATGCAAAGCACGAAACACAAACTCCATAATACAAAACTAAAATTTTAAATGAAAATTTTCTCGCTGCATTATCCGTAATAATAAACTCTTTGCTCCTCGCTTCATAACAAGTTTCGGCGGCCTTCACCAGCCTCCAGCAAGCTAGAAGCTGTAGATGTCTTTGTGCTACTAAGTTAACCAATCCACGTGGAGGGCGCCTGCGGTCGAGACGTTACACTCAACCTTAACTCTCTAGAGGGCAAAACCCTGGGGCTTAATACAGATTTGTTTTTCTGCGAAATCACTTCCTATGTTGAAACTACATTTTTAAGTCCAATATTTTTTTAAAAATTTGATTCCGTATACCCCAATTAATATTTTCAAATAAAAACAGTAAAACCAATGTTTACTTACCTATTTAATCAAAAATAAACTTGCATCCAGAATGAACGCTTTTTTTTGTCCAATAAAAAGACCTCGCAACTCGTTCACTGGTAACTAAATTTACCACTTTTTTATGTTTTGTTGGTTGCTACCTAATCCCTTAGAACATGGTACTCAAACTTACCAGATATTGTTTCAGAAACCGAGCCTGTTGTTTAGGGTCAATTTCCATAGGCCTACTCTTGCAAATTGAATCTAGGCGACAAGTGGTAAACATAGTAACCAGTAACCTATAAGGTGTTAAATTTAGTCTGTAAGATCCACCAGTTAAAAAATGATCCATAAATAAACTAGTCTTAGTTAAATAATTCAACTGTTAAGAAATGTCTGTTTTGATTATTATAAAAAATTACAGAAAATTAAGTAAAAGAATAATTTTATATCATTAAAGCGATGCAAAATATTTAAACAAAGGATATTTTTTGTATTTTGGGAGGAACAGATTACTCATAGATATATAGAAATTATCACCTCCTTTTATAAGAATCGTTTAATGAAACTTTTTTTCTTCACAATTTGTTTACATTCATATTTAATTTTACATATGTGTTTTTAATGGCTTTACATCTTTTTATATAAATATATTAGGTAATAAGCACGATAGACCCTACATGACTAAGACTAGGTGAACAATAGCACGTACAATACGCTATTAAAGGACAACAATTCAAACAAAAAAGATTACGAATATAGCCAACAATGTCTGTTAGAAGTAAAAACATTAAACAAATATAAAAAACTATACATTAACAACGTAATATTTAAAAATAACCAAATTAGAACGACATATAGGGTACATCCATAACTACCCTAATAACAGAATGGGACACCAACTCACATTCGAGTAGGAAATGTAGACGTAAACGAAAATTCAGGATAGGATATGCAATTTTTTTTTTGAAAAAGAAACTCCAACTACAAAAACGGCTATGAGTTAGTTAACTGAACAAATATTAAACACTGCTACTTCCTCTCAGTACATAAACGGCCAAAGTCTACTAAACTATTCTACACATGAAAAAAAAAAAAATTAACACCACAAACGGCGAATTTAATTCATATATTACAAAAAAGTTATATGCTAGATCGGGAAAAAATTATATTTTGCGTAAGATATAACACAACGATTTATATAAAAATATAAGATGAAAACGCTTACACAGTAACTTTCACAAGAATCGGGCTATCACCCATACTCATGCGGAGATCTGAATATAACGCTTTTAATATAACAAACATATCAAAACTACTATGGGACAGTTGTTATATAACCGTATTGATCTAACATACCTAAACAAATATTTCCACAAATTCAGTCATTTAGCCTCCAGCATTGCGGAATATGCATGAAAAGAAAGATGAAGAGAAAGGGCAAAAAGTAAATAAAAAAAAAATTTGTTAATGGAAAATCAGGACAACTGATATACGTGGGTACACTTGAATGTAGTATAACATTACATGAAAGATACAAGTACATTGTAGTTGAAATTGATCATGTTCTTAATATATAACATCTTTACTAAAAACAAATACCAAATAATAGGAAAAAATTAACTGGATTAAAAACCACAATACTACATAAAAAACTTAATACTTAATAGGAATACCAAAACAGCTTTTAAAGAAGAGGTTAGAATAAAAAAGTAGGATTGCATAAATGAGAAATTAAAAAAAAGAATAATTAAAACTGGAACGCTTCTTAGATCAACTCTAAGGATACACTTTTCAAGTGAAAGAAGTATTTAATCCATCTCCTGCATGACACGATGTATACTTAAACGATCTAAACTTTTTTTTAAATATTGGAGTGACCTATAATTAATTTGGTAGACCTTACCGTTTAACACCAAACGAAATATTCGGCTTAAGACATGAAAGCTTGGAAGCATACAATCACTATTCTGCAAAGTTTAAGTATATGATAAATATCTTAAAAAAAAGTCTCTAAATTTTGAGCTTGCGGGAGGTTTAACACTATCTAAACCTATCGACTTCGCTGATACTTAAAAACGTATAAACTTTATAGTCTGATCAAGGGATATCACTTGTTATAAAAATATTTTTCCGTAAAGTCAACAGACCAACGGACGTTTCTCAAACCCTTACGACCAATACATAAAACGTACACCAAGAAGCAAATGTAAAAGAAGATGCAGACACATTAAACGAACCAATAAACGCACCTAGCCCTTTCACACAGCATATGCAGATGATAAAAATAAAAAATTTAAAATAACAAAGAAACTAGAGAAGGCAAAATCGGCAAGATTTCACTTCATTTTATTAAAAAGAGAATAAACATTAGTATCCTGAAAGACAGTAATTATAACCAAGCGCGATGAAACATTTTAATTTTAAAGATAAAAACCAACAAAAAATTATGTGTGGCCCAAAACAAAGATAAAATTTAAGACCCCGAATTTGGATAAATACCATTATTGCCTTACGATTGTCTTAAACAAAGAAGTAAGAAATATAAACTCCACCAATTCCAAATACCAAATATAAAAATACTAAAACAGTCAAAATATTACCGGTAAACTCTCCTCCCAAACTCAAATCATGGAACTTGAGAGTGATGCCAACTTAAAAAACGATAACGGCAACCCTTAACACGCCATCAACTGATACAGCCGACGATATAAAAAGGAGAAGCAAATTAATGAGAAACTAGTTATGACCCTGATAATTAAAAATTAAGGCAAACGTAAACCTACTGATCCTCTTCTACCTTACTTTTTACGAGACCAAGATTTCAGATTACCGTGGACAATACATGCTAGCGCTGAAAAATACGTAAGATAATACCAGTTAAGAAATAACCGAAATCTCAAACAAGGTATGGACATTATATTATTTCTACATCGTGGTGAATTTACCACTAAAAATGTCTACGTTTACAAATGTTTTAAGCATTTATTCATACAAACTAACAAATTCTTTTTAAATATTCATATCCCAGAATTTA